ATATCTCCATTTCTTCGATAAGATACTTGTCCTCACAGCATCTCGTAAGGGCACACGAATTAGAATGTCATCAAGTACATTCTCAGGAAGGTTTCTAAGTACATCAGGAGGTAAAGTAGCACTACAGAGTTTTTTGTCCTTAGGAAGCATCATATATATGACAATATTCTCTCAAATAAGAACCTGTAGACGATAAACAAGGATAGAAAAGTGAGGCATCTCCAAAATTATTATTCATATAAAGTCAAACTTACAAGAGAAAGTGCATGTGAAATTGTCACATAAATTAGGACGGAGGGAGAAACTCATATTATAGTTTAGTAAAATACACACTAATAAAAGATTATTACATCACATAATTCCAAGCTGATAAACCTATCAAATCCTTTAAAGGGCACTGGTGAAGGAAGTATTAAACAATTTTCGAGAGTCAGATGCCTCATGTAATGCTCATGGAAACTCGAGTTTTGTTTCATGAGATTCTTTCCTGAGCTCGACTACCATCCTTTATAAGCATCGTTTAAGGCTTTGTTGAAACCTTACCAACTAAACGAGAACCAGGTTCTTGTTTGTTTGGCTAGATAATAACGTGACACAATAAAATAATGATTTTATCGTGGAAACCTTCCTCCCTCAAGGAAGGAAAAAACCACACTATGAAGTTATTAACTTCAAGAACACTTTAAGATTACAACTCAACAATCAAAAGGAACCAACTCTAGTGCCTTTACTCTTCAACGATTAACTATAATCGAAGACTATATACTCCAAGAAGTCGAACCCACTTCTTGTTACTATTCTCTCACACTTTCTCTCAAACTCTACTCTCCAAAAAATCAAACCCACTTTTTCTTACAATTCTCTCAAACTGTCTTCAAGAAGTCAAACCCACTTTTTGTTACTCAATCTAGGAATTATTACAACTCAATAATAAACCTAGAACAAATCAACAAAGACTAATAACCCTAGACTTTAATTGATCAGACTTCAGCATTCAATAATTTAGACTCGAACACAACTCATGAACCTGGTTTTAGTGTTGCTGTGACGAAGCCTTGCAGTTTTGCTCCAATGGCTATTTGATAAGAATCGTGTCACCAGAATAAACAAGAAAATAATGCGGAAGCGAAATTATAGAGATAAAAGACAGAAATTGAAAGATATGTGAAATTCAAGAATAAAATCCCCAATTTCAAGATAAAGTGCTAAGAACCCTAATTAATCTTAGTATTCAAAATAAGCGGATTAAGATTAATTATGATACTAATAGAGTCAATTCAAGAACTTAAATCAAAAGTGATCTAGACCCCTATTACGAAGAAATTAGAGACAACAATTAGTATAAGACTAATCACCTTCTTTAATTTACGAATAGAAACCAAAGATATCAAATTAAGAATTAATCTTACCTCTTAAAGAATCGTTCTTTAAAGGTTGTAAGATAAATCCATAGTCACCACACACAAAGGTGTAAAAAAGAGAAACCTCTCAAATAATATTAATCATGTTTGTTCTTAAAATAATAAAATCATCCCCTATATATAGGGAAAACCTATTCCAAATAGAATGGGATTCAAATCCTACTTTTATGGAAATAATAACTAGGAAATTTTAAACTAGGAAACTTTTTAAACTAGGAAAAACTTTAAACTTGGAACTTTTGACTTTAAGCGTTCAACTTTTTGGACTCTTTTATTGGGCTTCGTGTGACCCTATCTTCTTTCTTTTAGGCTTGAATTTGGACACTTCTTTCATGATAGACGTGTTCTTGATTTTTCATTGAAACCCGTCAACTTTGGTACAAGTAGGCTGACATGGATGCTATCGCTATTGCTCTCAAGATGATGACTTTCGTGAATATGCAATAGGTGTCGCTTTGACTTTACTGAAAAATTCTCTCAATTTGTGTTTATGCAAAAACGACTTTTTCTTTTTTTTTGTTTGAATCTTTTATAGAATTTGTTTTGCCTTTATCAACTTCTACAAGGAAAGATATTTGTTTCCCTAGAAAACTAATCCTTTTCCTTATTGAGCTTGTCTGCCTATTTCCTTTTCTGCCTAGGACTTGTTTATATTTACTTCTTTCCTTCTTCGACTTGAATTGCTATTTTTTTTATTTCTTTCCTTCTTTGCTCCTTTGTTTCAACTATTTCTTTATTATTTTTTTTCGCTCATTTTTTTCTACACTTTAATATTTTCCTTCTTTGTTGTAATTGTCACGCCCCGAGCCTACACCCTGGGCGGGACCGGCACTCGAAGACCATTGCTGGCCCCAAGCAAAACCTTGGCCTGGCTTTCTTGACTCAGTGGAAACCTAACTCAACAGAATAACTTAATGCAATGAAAGGTTATAAAACAACCTAACTGATGCATAACATGCCAAAAGGCAACTCGTGCCTCAAAATAAAATATTTACATATATACATAGATGAGAGACTCAATACTAACTGACTGACTAACTGTCTATGAAACCTCTAAAATACTGAGATGGATGTTGGGACAGACCCCGCAACATCCTAATAAAACAAAACTATGAACACAAAATAACAGAGTCCTCCGGAAGGCAAGGAGGCACACCACTGACTCTGGAGTGCTCAGTTGTATCAATGGCGTGCTAGATGCTGATACTGGGTACCTGCGTCTGCATCATAATAAGATGCAGGCCAACTGACATCAGTACATTGAATGTACGAGTATGCGAGCTGGAAAGCTAAACAACAACTTAAGCTTGAAAAGAGTACAAAGGAACTCTTACCATGGCTCTATTCAACTCATGAATAACCGAACTCAATATAAAGCAATAAGACACATGCAATATATATAAAGCTTGCAAAACAATGTAAACAACTTAGTTCGTTAAGGATAAAACAATAGCAAACTCAACTTTACTTATATAAAAGTAATATAACTTTAGTGGGAGATTCTTTAACCGACAACCACCACTATGAGCCCTAGTGATGATACAACGTTTTACCTCACGTTGCCTAAGGACCATCCTATACCTTGCCGTGATATAGGACCTTACTTTAACTTAGTGGATCCACTAGCTTAAACTTACGTGATCAGCTAAAAAGAATGACCCGTCAGGTCCCATGTTGGCTACATGGTTCTTATGGAGAGTTGAGTTAATATGAACTCGTTTCCCCAATTCGGTGCTCAATACTACTCCCAAAATTACTTTGGCTCATAAGTGTTTTAAACACAAACTTCTTTAGTTTGAGATAATTGCTCAAAACTTAACCCAAAGGCTCTCTTGGAAAACATAGTTTCTTTCTTACTCAAATGTGAAAACATTTATAAACCTCTTTGGGAATACTTAGTTCCCTATTCACTTTTGAGAAATGAACTCAACTCTTTACTTAACTTGAAACTCTACACTCTTTACTTAACTTGAAACTTGAACCTTAAAACGAAGTTAAAACGTTTAATAAAGACTCTTGAAAAGCTTTAAAGACTTGCTTCTTAACTTCTAGACTTGACTCTTAACTTCACTTGACTTTGATCCTAACGTTCTTGAATTGAATTATGGATTCAAGGATTATGATTTGTGCTTGGAAAAACCTCATGATGTTTAGGAATGATTTAGGACAGCTAAACTTAAGAAAAATTACGAAATTAAATTTTTGAAACAGTGGAGTCCGCGTCCTGTCCGCGACGCGGAGCAGATTTTTGTTCACAGGGGGAACAAGTCCGCGACGCAGATTTGTTTCGTGCAAGCTGCCCGACTTTTCTCCTTCGTTTTTCCAACTCTAAACCCTCTTAACTTCAAAGGTTCTTTCCCCAAACACTTGGGATCATTAAAACCCTTAATATACAATAGATTCAACTCGGAATTACAACCGGAAACATGCACCAAACCAACAAGAAACTTCAACAACACAACCACAACTTCAACAAACACAACCACAAACTTCAACAAACATAACCAATCTTTTCTCGAAATTAAAACGAGTTTGGCGTGTGGGGGAATGAACCAACCCAACACTATGCTCTCACATACCTTAATAGGGATCACCCCCGACGAAAACCACGACGATCTCAACGAACTTTGCTTCTTCTCTGTCTCCTCTTCTTTCTCTCTTCACTCACAACCCTAACACTCACTTTTTAAAAGGAAATACTAATTTAAAATCAGCTGGGACCCTTAATATAACCAAAAGAAATGGTTAGGGAAAAGACCAAAATACCCTTACAAATTCGGGTGAACTTTCCTATGCCAACAACCCAACTTCCAAAGGACATAACTCAGTCATATGAACTCGGAATCGAGCAAACTTGGCGGAGTTGAAAAGATCATTCCAAGGGCTTTGCAAACATAACTGGAAATACACCTAATTCATCCTGAGCTAGGAGTTATGACTGTTTAAAGTTGACCAAAAACTCATTTTTTTCCCCATACTTGACTAAATTTCCAGATTTGAATTCTTTCCAAAAATGAATATTTCCAATTTTCAGCTTCTTCGTAGTTATTTCAAATTGCAAGATGTCACAGTAATCTCTCATATTTGTATAGGTTGCCTGCATGCACGTCTGGACCTAATAGAGTACACATAAGACAACAAGTAGTGAAACCATGTTCACTTTATCAATCATCAAAACTACTTTATATGTTCTCCTACTTCCCAACAATTTCCCCTTTTTGATGATGATACAATGCTTTGTCACACATCAAGACTCTTTGACAATCATCAAAACTACAAACATCATGTTCTCTCATTCCCCAACATTTGTGCCTGTTGTATCGATAGCCTTAGCGCTATGAGGAGATTCAATGGCACATCTGAGAAGCCTTGAACATCATGAGACTCAAGAGCATGAATCTCATTGATAACAGATTAACACCACACAGCTTACCAAGACTTAAGAGTTACATTAGTCCTTTGAAAATCATCTTTTTCTTTGACTGATAAATGAGTTATATGGGAATGAGTAAATGACTATGTGAACGTTGACACGCAACCAAATATAATCATAATAACAATTCTCAATTCATTGATCATTCAAGATGAAACAACATCATCGGGCACAGGTAAAAGCAATTTGTTCAATGCCACATAATCAATCTACAAAAAGATTGAGAAAAATCATTACTACATAACTTAAATTGAAGATATAATGAGATTGAACATAAGCAAGTCACCACATACGAAGAACCATAAATAAAGGATGAAACTAAACGTCATTAGCACCTTCATTTGAATATCTTGCAGATATGGGGAGCTTCTTATCAAGCAAAGAGAAAATGAAAGCTCAACTGATTCATCCAGACAAATGTCGGATAGGCAAAGACTTTTAAGACAATTAAGAGGAGAGGAAAGCTTTGCTGCTATATCACCTGATCCTGCAGCCAAGAACTAAGAAAAAAACATTGAAAATCAGGAACACTCATAGCCCACACGATGGGACGCCTATGAAAGTGCATTACAGTGGACATGATGCAATGTTTACCTGGAGACTACTATAATCCAAGTGGAGATGCTCGAGAGAAGGACAAAACTCAAAATACTTGGAAATATGTTTTCCTGCCTTCAGAGTAGCTGCTGTATTCACAAGTGAAAGTTTCACAAGAAAAGGTGCTTTCCCTAAGGAAAGTATATGTATATCGCCTGTGAAGTTGAAGGATTTCAACTTGGGATCATCAATTTGAATGTGGTCTAAAATACTTGAGATTCACAGCACCAACTTCTCGAGCAACTGGATATGAGAGATTAAACTTCCAAGCATTTCGGAAGAAATTGTGACTTCACACAATTCAAGGCTAACTAACTCACTAAATCCTTTGAAGGTAGATAAAGGCTGAATTGAACAATAATGAAGATTCAGATGTCTCATTTGCGAACATGTGAAAAATGAAGATGGCAATTTATATGGTTTATCCTTCGGGAATTGAAGAACAAGATGTTGAATACCATTTCTCGAGAGGAACATTACCAGATTGTCAATTTTAGAGTAATTTCCAAGATTAGCAATATCAGAGAGGATAAGCTTTGTAATTGGTCCGACATGAAGTACCAAAAGGTGGTAGATTATGTCTGTAAACCTAGTTACAAAGGGTATTGACTCATTTGTTGAGTCCCAAAGTGTTTGATCAAGCGTTAACTCAGGAAGTCTGCACCAATTATATCTCCATTTCTTTGATAAGATACTTGTCCTCACAACATCTCGTAAGGGCATACGAATAAGAATGTCATCAAGTACATTCTCAGGAAGGTTGCTAAGTACATCAGAAGGTAAAGTAGCACTACAAAGTTTTTTATCATTAGGAAGCATCATATATATTGCACAATTATCCCCAATAAGAACCTGCAGACAATAAACAAGACTAGAAAAGTGAGGGATTTGTCCAAAATTATTATTCATATAGTCAAAACTTATGACATAAAAGTGTCAGGTGTTCTATCTCGAAAAGCAAAAGGTGTCACATAAATTATGACGAAAGGAGTAACAATTCAATGATGTGACATATTCAATAAAAACTAACATATTCTATAGAGAAAAAAAGATGAGAAACACATATTATAAAGCTTACCAAGATCCAAACATATGGAGTTTAACCTTTCTCTGCTGTGTTTAAAAAATGTCAGCTGTTAGGTACTTATTTGTAGTTTTCAAGTGAACGTTTCAGTTTCCCTATAAAAGAAATAAATGACACTGCCAATAATTAATTGTCCTACTTTTTCTATTTTAATTATTTAAACTTAACCATGTTTTTACTTACTTTGATATGATCAGCTCTTAGACTACCATTTCAAGTTAAATATTACTCCCTCCGTTTTATTTTACTTGGACCATATTATAAATAATTTTTTACTCGTTCATTTTAACAAATCAAGAGAGTTTTTATATATATTTGTGTGTACGTAAAGTTTGTTTACACAGTTTCAAGACAAACCTGTTAACGAGAATCGTAATTCAAAATTTCTTCGATAGCAAGAAGACTTTATGTGCATCCACACCGCCTTGATTAATGAAACTCGCGAAAAAATTGGATGAATAATATACCATGCTCTGAAAAATTTAACGAAACAAGAAAATAATTTCTTGTCAATGATATTTTGTTCTTGACTTGGTGGAGTTTTTCTCATAATAAATTTGCTATGAAACTTTTTCCTCACCTTTTATACAACAAGGTAAAATTAAACTAGTTTTATTATTATTATTATTATTATTATTGGAATTTCGAATCCCAAAAGTTCCATAAAATTCATCCAATTTAGAATTGGACACATGTATGGCTTCCCTGTTCAATTCCAAATTGGATTAATATATATTAATATTAATTATATTATATTTATTACTCCCTCTGTCCTTAATTACTTGTCCAATTTTCTTTGACAAATCAAGTAAAGACAATTTTGTTTTACCTATTATACCCTCAATTAATTAATTTTGAAAAGGTAAACTTCTTGAAAATCTTAAATTTTTAATTCAACCGCTTCATAATTAATAAGGGTAAAATGGTAAACTCACTATGTCAATAATTGTTTTCTTAATAGGTGTGTCAATTCAAAAGTGGACAAGCAATTAGGGATAGCTGGAATATATATAATTAAATATTAATTATAACTATCAAATATATATCACACATATTCAATTTTCTAATCAAACTAGAAAACTCCAATTTACTAGTGTGGGACCCCATAGGTTTCATGTTGACTTGACACGCCTCTTAAGAAAGTAGGCTCAAATATGTCATCAAACTTTGAGAAAAAACTCATTTATGTCATCCGTTAAATGTTTGACTAATCTGTGTCATTTCCCTTTGAGAAAAGGCTCGTTCATGCAATTATTTGTTAACTGAAAATAGTTCTGTTTTGCAAAATTATTTTTTACACGTGGTCAATTATGATTTGGCTACGTCATTAATTAAATTATTTTTAAAAAGGAAAAAGACTTAAATATGCCATCGAACTTTGAGAAAAAGCACCCCCGCTTGTGCGCCTCCCTTCCGTCCCCAGCGTGCGCGCCCGCGCGCTCGTCGGCCGACCAACGAACCAGGTGCGGAAAGCGCCAAGGAATACTAAAATTGACAGCCCTCCCCTCGGGCCCCGTCCGCCGAGTGTTGGGGGACGTGTACTGCTCTTGAAACACAAACCACTCTCGACAATCGGCTCTCGCATCGATGAAGAACGCAGTGAAATGCAATACTTGGTGTGAATTAAACAATCCCGTGAACCATCGAGTCTTCAAACGCAAGTTGTGCTTGAAGCCATTAGGCAGAGGGCACATCTGCCTGGGCGTCACGCATCGCCCCCACACGCCGGGGCGGAAGCTGGCCAGCCGCGCGCTCTATCCAAATTTGATTTCTAGTAATTTATGTTGTTATTGTAGGGAACTTTCAGATGCTCCTAGCATAAATTAACGTCCAGCCAACTATAGTGTAACAAGAATATAAACAAAATTAGCACCAATCACTACTAGAAACAAAAACTTTTCCCACCACGATTCAATGAAAAATTCATGTTATAAAACATTATTTTTCCACTCAGTTCCCATTGAACCAACCACTCTTTTGCAAAATGTTGAAATCAAATCTTTTACTAGAACAATAACCTCTACTACCATTATGATTTATGAAACTTATGTTTTACAATCGCTCGAGAAATCTATGCTCACTGCTGATGATAGCCGAAGCTGGAGTAGCCTCTTAGTAATTCTCAATGCTTCTACAGGTTCAAGCTCTGGATGCTCCACAATGCTCATTGTCACGAGTGATGGCGAGCTAAAGAGAAGAAATTGTATAAACTCAAACTCAGGAACAAAACTCGAGATATTAGTTAACTTGATCAGATGAAGTTTGCCCATTGTGCAATGCAGGCGTTTTAGATAACCTGAGACTTGCTCTTGGTTTAGCTCGACGGTAGAAGCCTACATGGAAACAGAGCAAAAATCTAACAAGTGCGTATTTATATTTTTGAAAAAATTATCATATATTAGATGGAATATTACGATTTACCTCAATACGAAGTTCTTGCAAATTCGGAGCACTCCTAATCAAGAATACAACAAAAGAGATCTCATCGAAGCTCATAAAATCTACACCTTTGAGTTCAATAATCTTTAGAGAGTCTAGCGATGTTGATAGAATAGGCGGAACTAGAGTTTCAGCTAGGAGCTGAAAAAAATGACACACGAAAACATATTTTCATTAGATTTATATAAAATCAAAATAGAGATATGTTTAAGTAATTTCAGTAGATACTAACCTGTAGAAACTTGCCATTTAGACGAATTATTTCTAAGCTAGGCAAGCTATCCAAAACCAAATCAGATTTAGGATTGTTTTCCAGGCTTAGTACAACTTTGTCCAACGTAATAGAAACTTCAGTCAAGTTAGGAAGGTTTTCTAAGGAAATTGATTGAAAATCATCATCGACCTTGATGAACAACCGTTGGAGTTTAGAACCACTTATATTAAAATGATGAACACCAGAACATCCATACAACACTAGCTTCTGAAGAACAGGGCAGCTGGAGAGAAAACATTCAAAATAGTCGTTGACAAAGTGAACGCCAATAAGCTCTAATTGGTAAAGATATAGGAAGCCTTTAAAATTTGGTGGATGATGCGATAAATGAAGATTACGGAGCTTCAAATTTGTCAAATCCAAACAAGAAAAGAAATACGAAGATAACTTATGACTCACAATGTCCTTCTTGTATTCTAAGGTTAATTTCTTGATGTTTTTCTGAGATAATTTTCGAATCCATTTGCTAACATTAGGAGCCCTTGTTGATTTGAAATTTGGAACAAATACTTTAAATTTCTCTATTCGACCAGGATGAAACATAAGAAATCTAGTGACAATTTCATCCAATTGGTACTTGTGCTCGAGCTCAACTTCAGATAATATACGAAGTTTCTTCTGGGCAATGGCAAAGTTCTGAAGTTCTTTGGAGAATTTGTCATCGAATTCCAACTCAGGAATGGTTGAGTAGTACAATGTCCACTTCTTTGACAGAACACTCGTTCTTACAGCATCACGTATAGGCATTTTCCCTAAAATGCAATCTATTATGTTCCTTGGTAAGTCACTGATTATATCTTCCCCATCAATTAATTTTTGGCTGGTGTCTAATTGACTTATTTTGATACGTTTTGCTGGCATATCTTCCTATGATATGAGAACCAAGACACCAACGTAATCAACTCTGATGGAACAATATACAAAAAAAAAAAAAAGCCTCGGTGGAGTGAATTACTTGCTAGTGGAAGGTATCCTGTGGAATTAGTCGAGCTGCACGAAAGCTGATCTGGACACCACAATCATAAAAGAAAATAAAAAAAGATACAATAGATGGCAAATAAAACAGCATGATCAACCATAACTTTTACATGTATTCTCTAGAACTTAACCTATTTAGTGGACGAATCAAGATTTTCATTAAACTTTGTTTGGATTATTGTTACACATTGTATCATAATGTCAATAATCAACAATTAAGAATAAACCGTAAAAAATAAAAAGTAGCATATGGAGTAAAACTAACTTTTCATCTTTAACTATTTAATGATACAATAAAGTAAAATTTAAGTAACAATCACAAAAATCGTATTTAAACAAACAAAGGGATACAATGCAACATGTAACATCTATCCAAGCAAGTTGTAATGAGATTCAAAGTCAAGGGGCGGCTCAATAAAATAAGGGGCCGAAAGCCAAAATTTAGAAAATAGAGATACGTTTATTTAATAATTTATATATATTTTATCCTCATAAATTCTAAAAAAATATTGTAATTGATTATAATTTGATAATTAACTTTTTTTTTCAATTGACAATATAACGTTTATAGTAATATTTTGTAAGCATATATAAATTATTGTACGGTACATAATAACACAAACTTTTAAATCTCTTTTATTGATTATTGTTTTGAAAACTTTTTAATAATTATATAATCTATTGAGATTATTATAAAGCGTTTAAAATAAAACTAAGACTTCACATTCAAAGTTAACACAATATTTTTCAAAATTTAATTATTTGATAATCTAATTAGTTTGAGCGAATTGAAGACAATCTTACAAAACTAATATTAAAACATGATTGATTCAAATTGAAGTGAATTACAGAAATTAAGAAATAAAAATAACTGTAAATTTAGTTGTGTACGAGTTTTAATTATAATTAAATCAATTGTGCATAATAATTAGTAAGAGATTAGCAACAAACTATTAAGAAGATTTTAATTAATACTCCTTCTATTCCTTTTTGACAACTATTTTGGAACAAGTATTTACAATATACATAACAACTAAAAAGTTATGTATATTTTTTGGGGCCTAAAGCCACTTGTCGCCCTCGGATAATGCATAAAACCTTATTTTAACCGTCAAGAGATTATACAAGTCAATTTTTCATCGAATGGGTTCGGATCCTACTCCTACTTTGTGAAGGTAAAGAGGTCGTTTTCGTTTAAGAAAAACAACATAGTTAACAAGATAAACTATATATACTAATATCAGACAAAGAAAAAAAAAAACTTACAATTAAATTCCGTTTGAAGAAATAGGCAGAGAGAAGCAGCGTAGGATTCTGAAAGTTTGGCCTTTGAGGTGTATAAAAACTCTTATTTATAAATTTTCTTACCTAATATTTAGGAATTTAAAATTATTTTAAATTCTATAAACGATTTTATATATATATTCTAATTTTAGTCCGTGCAATATGAGATTCAACAAAGTTGATCTTTAATTAATTAAAATGTGTGTTTTGATCCAATTTTTTTTAGGAAATATGTTATTTAGACTTTAGAAGATTATATATATGAGTGATTAAATGGTGAAAACGATTAATATTTAGGAAGTTTATGATTATTCAAAAGTAAAGGGATCAAAAGTGCACAATTCAAATAATTGAAGGTTATATGTTATAATTTACCAATAACTAAGGGGCTAAAAATGTTATTAACCCTATAATGAAATAAAAATGAAAAAAAAAACATTATCGAGAAAAAATGTCTTTGTTAATAAATTGATAGATACACACTTAATATCGAGAGAAAAAACAACGGATATTGCACCTTATATTTGGACAATATTAACGATGTAATCTACATGGTTTTTTGTGTGTATTATAGCCCATGAATGTTGGCGCCTTCTAGCGCCTAGAAGGTTTTTCTGGAAAAAAATTTTATGAGGATTTCTGTAATGAGTAGGGGAGCATCACGTATAGTCCCACCTTTTTTTAAGGTATATTTTTGCATTAGGGGTCAACTTTTAGGAATTACGTGATTTTCTTGGCTTTTCGTGTGTATTAGCCCATTAGTGTTGGCGCCTGGAAGGTTTTTCTGAAAAAACTTTATGAGGAACTCTGTAATAAGTTGAAGGAGCATTACGTATAGTCTCGCCATTTTGAAGGAATATTTTTGCATTTAGGGGCCAACTTTTCAGAATTACGTGACTTTTGTGGTTTTTCATATGTATTAGCCCATGGATGTTGGCGCCTTCTGACGCCCAAAAGATTTTTCTAAACATTTTTTATGAGGACCTCCATAATGAGTTGGGGGAGCATTACATATAGTCCCGCCATTTTTAAGACATACTTTTGCATTTAGGGGTCAACTTTTAGGAATTACGCGACTTTCTTAACTTTTCGTGTGTATTAGCACAAGATATTGGCGCCTGAGAGGTTTTTCTGAAATAACTTTAAGAGGACCTCCGTAATAAGATGGGGGAGCATTACATATAGTCCTACCATTTTAAGGCATATTTTTTTATTTAGGGGAGACTTTTAGGAATTACACGACTTTCTTGGTTTTTCGTGTGTATTAGCACATGTATGTTGGCGTCTTCTGGCACCCGGAGAGTTTCTTTGAAAAATCTTTATGAGGACATCTATAATGAGTTGGGGAGCATTACGTATAGTCCCACCATATTTTAAAGGCATGTTTTTTTATTTAGGGGCCAGCTTTCAAGATTTACGTGACTTTCTTAGTTTTTCGTGTGTATTAGCATATGGAAGTTGGCGCCTAGAAGGTTTTTCTGAAAAAACTTTATAAGCACATCCGTAATGATTTGGGGGAGAATAACATATAGTACCACTCTTTTTAAGGATTACTGTTGCATTTAGAGGTCAAATTTTAGGAACTATGCAATTTTCTTAGTTTTTCGGGTGTATTAGCTCATGGATGTTGGCGCCTTCTTGCGGTCGGAAGTTTTTTTCTGAAAAAACTTTATGAGAACCTCCGTAATGAGTTAGGGAATAATTCATAATAGTCCCACCATTTTAAGGCATATTTTTGTATTAAGGGTCAACTTTAGGAATTACACGATTTTCTTGGTTTTTCGTATATTAATGTCTTTGGATGTTGGCACCCCAAAGGTTTTCTGAAAAAACTTTATGAGGACCTCTGTAATGAGTTGGGGGAGCATTAGGTATAGTCCCACCATTTTATTAAGGCATATTGTTGCATTTAGGGGCCAACTTTTAGGAATTATGTGACTTTCTTGGTTTTTCGTATGTATTAGTCCATGGATGTTGATGTCTTTTGACGCCTGGAAGGTTTTTTTTAAAAAAACTTTATGAGAACCTCTGTAATTAGTTGGGGGACCATTACTTATAGTCCCTCCATTTTAAGGCATATTTTTGCATATAGGGGCCAACTTTTAGGAATTATGCGACTTTCTTAGTTTTCCTGTGTATTAGCCTATGGATATTGGCGTCTTTTAGCGCTCGGAAGATTTTTCTGAAAAAACTTCAAGACGACCTCTGTAATGAGTTGGGGGAGCATTATGTATAGTCCCACCATTTTAAGGCATATTTTGCATTTAGGGTCTAACTTTTAGGAATTACGCGACTTTCTTTCTTTTTCGTATGTATTAGCCCACGGATGTTGGCGTCATCTCGCGCCTGAAATGTTTTTTTAAAAAAATTTATATGAGGATCTCCGTTATGAGTTGTGGAGCATTACGTATAGTCCTACCATTTCTAAGACATATTTTTTGCATTTAAAGGTCAACTTTTAAGAATTACACGAGTTTTTTGATTTTTTTGTGTGTATTAGCCCATGGATGTTGGCGCATTCTGGCTCCTAGAAGGTTTTTCGGAAAAAACTTTATGAGCAACTCTGTAATGAGTTAGGGGAGCATTATGTATAGTCCCACCATTTTCTAAGGCCTATTTTTGCATTTAGGGGACAACTTTTAGGAATTACCCGACTTTCTTGGTTTTTTGTGTGTATTAACCTATGGATGTTGGCGTTTTCTGGCGTACGGAAGATTTTTCTGAAAAAACTTTATGAGGACCTCCAAAGCATCCCGAAATTTTTTTTGCGAAACTTTTATGAAACCCTTATTAGGGAGTTAGGGGAGTAGTACGTACAATGTCACCAGTTTTAGAGTGATTTTTAGGCATTTAGGAGCCAATTTGAAGGATTTGGGCGATTTTTTAGTTTTTCTTGTGTTATAGCCCATGAATAAATTGGAGGTATGGCTTTCGGGTGATTTTTTTGGGAAACTTTTATGGAACCCTTCGTAGGGAGTTGAGGGAGCAGAATGTACAGTCTCACCATTTTTAGAGTGATTTTTGGGCATTTGAGGGCCAATTTACAATAAGTAGGTGATTTTCTTGATTTTTCGTGTTTATTAACCATGAATATTTTGGTGATATGCCTTCCAGATGAATTTTTGGTAAAATCTTTATGAAACTCTCCTTAGGGAGTCTGGGTAGTAGTATGTACAGTCTCACCAATTTAGAGTGATTTTGGGTATCTAGAGGCTAATTTGCAAGAATTACACGATTTTCTTAGTTTTTTGTGTGTGTATCAGCCCATGAATATTTTAGTGATATGGCTTCTGGACAAATTTTTTGCAAAATCTTTATGGAACCCTCTGTAGGGAGTAGTGAGAGAAGTGCGTACAATCTCACAATTTTTAGAGTGATTTTTGGGCTAGGGGCCAATTTACATAAATTAGGAGATTTTCTTAGTTTTTCGTGTGTGCTAGTCCATGAATATTTTGGTGATATTACTTAAATATGAGTTTTTTTGCGAAACCTTTTGTGAAACCCTTCATAGGGAGTTGGGAGAGCAGTACGTACAGTCTTACCATTTTTAGAGTGAATTTTGAGCATTTAGGGGCCAATTTACAGGAATTAGGCCAATTTATCTATTTTTCGTGTGTTAGCCCATGAATATTTTGGTGATATGGCTTTCATACACGGGCTAACATACACGGAATGACATATTTTGGTGTTAGCCCGTGTATGGAAATCATATCACCAAAATATTCATGGGCTAACGCACAAAAAAAACTAAGAAAAATTACTCAATTCCCGCAAATTGACTTATAAATGCCCAAAAATCACTCTAAAAATGGTGAGACCATATATACTGTTCTTTTAACTCTCTACTAAGGTTTTGTAAAGATTTCACATAAAAATTGACCGAAAGTTATATCACCAAAATATTAATAGGTTAACACACACGAAAAATGGAGAAAATCACTTAATTCCTGTAATTGGCCCTGAAATGCCATAATACACAAATATATCATTTAATTTGATTTCAACTGACATCTACGACTTCAACTTTGAGTGTGTACAAGTAGACATTTAAACTTATATAAAATTGAACAAATAGACATATCCATCCTACGTGACAATTTTGTATCTTATGTGGCATCCTACATGTACTATGTCATTTAGGATTTGTTGTCTACTTGTTAAATTTTACATAAATTTAAGTGTTTATTTGGGCACACCCAAAATTAGAGTGTGTAGATGTCAGCTAAAGTCAAGTTAAAAGGTACTCCCTTCGTTTCAAAAAGAGTGGTCTGGTTTGACTTGGCACGGAGTTTAAGAAATTAAAGAACACTTTTGAATTTTGTAGTCCTAAATTAAAGTTATGTCAAATGTACAAAATTGTCCTTAATCTTGTGGTCTTAAACATGTCACGTGGAAAACAAAAAGTAAAATGTTACCAAAAAAGGAAAGAGGTCATTCTTTTTTAAACTAACTAAAAAGGAAAGGATGTCATTCTTTGTAAAACGGAGGGAGTATATTTATGTATTATTTTTAAGTTATTTGATTTGGTGTAAATGATATACTCCCTCCGTTTCCAGAAAGAGTGATCTAGTTTGACTTGACACGAAGTTTAAGAAAATAAAGAGGATTTTTGAATCTTGTTGTCTTAAATTAAAATAGTATAAATTATAGGAACCACATATTATAAGTACTAAATAACATCCTATCCCTTCTAGTTTTCTATTTACCAAAAATCCCTTAAAAATGATGTTTGCGGGATACATAGCGTTGTGCACGTGATACATTAGGTTTAATACATTCCACATAGCGGGATACATAGCGTTGTGCACGGGATACATTAGGTTTGATACATTCCACATAGCGGGATACATAGCGTTGTGCACGGGATACATTAGGTTTGATACATTCCACATAATGGGATACATAGCATTGTGCACGGGATACATGCGGGATACATAGGTAAAATAAGGGATTTTTGAAATTTTTGAAATAAGTAGGGATAAATGGATATTAAGGTAAGTAAAGGAGTGTAGTTAAGTAATTTGTCCATTAAAATAATGTCAAATGTACAAAATTGTCATTTAATCTTGTAATCTTAAATATGTCACGTGAAAAGTTGAAATTAAAATGTTACCAAAAATAAGAAAAAAAAATAATTTAAAACAGACTAAAAAGGAAAGTAGATCATTCTAACGGAGCATCCTTCCTTTTGTTTTCTCTTAAATACTCTCTAATCACTCTACACCGTTTGCTTTTCATTTTCCCCTTAAATTTTAAGAAAACTTCCGCCCTGTGAAATCTACAAATCCCCATTTCTCTCATTCTCTCTTTGGTTGATGAAAGATATACTTTATTCCTTTTGGATCTTCCTAATTCACTAATTTTTGCTCTGGGTAAGCATTAATGCTTCTCTTTTCTTTTTCTTTTTCCATTTGGATTGTGTACTTAGTTTATGAAATGAATGGTTTTAATTGTGATTAGAGTTGTGCCAATTGTGGGCAAAATGTAATTGGGTTCTTGTTTTGATTTTTCCCAATTTTAATTTTAGAATAAACAAATCTATGTATTGATTCGTGTATCATTGAGATTTTTTTTTATGATCGTGGTGTTCGGGTCGGCTTTTATGTACCTTGATTAATTCCACGGAATACATGTCATCTTCTACTAGCAATAGGTACAATAGGTATCAGGTAAGTCTGTCCACCTATTGGGGTACAAAAAGAATCCTTTTTCTTTACTGTCATATCTAAAAGCTAGGACAGATAAGAAGAATCAACTACTGTGTTTTTCTTGTCTCCACTGGGTATATCATGATTAATTTCAGTTAGAACACACCCTTTTAGGAGTATTTTTTAAATCACATTGGGGGATGGGGGGTAATGAGAAATGGGGAGGGGATTATAAGGTGGGGAATCAAAGGCCAGGTAGTCAATCAACTGAGCCACTAAGATTCCCGCGTAGTTTGGAGATTACTCATTTTTGTTATTGTTGTTCATTTTCAGCAGGGTTACATTGACGAATACGGTATGATGGCTCCTGAGGCTAAAAAGCAGTGTTGTGAATCTTTACCTTTCGATGTACTTAGCAATCTTCCAGAGAATGTAATTGATATCATTTTGATGTGTTTGCCGTTTAGAGATGCGGTGAGGACTAGCATCTTATCAAACATATGGAGATATAAATGGTGCCGACTTCCTGAGTTGACACTTGATGATGCTTTTTGGAAAACTAAGAATAACTTAATATGCCATACGACTGCAATTACCAAGATTATCTACCATATTTTGATATTTCATGAAGGACCAATTACAAAGTTTACACTCTGTGTTCCTAAGTCAAGAAGTTGTCCTATGATCGATGACTTGATATATTTCCTCGCAAAAAATGGCATTCGGGATCTTGTGCTTAAACTTCCATTCAAGAGTGAACCATACGAATTGCCACCTTCATTTTTCAAAAGCTTGCAGTTGAGGAATTTGAATCTCCAGAATTGCTTAATACTTCGTCCACCAACCTTCAAAGGACTTGATAGGTTAATTAGGTTGGAACTATGTGAAGTTTCAATTTCTTCCGAGGAGCTTGGAAGTTTAATCTCTCATTGCTTGTTGCTTGAGCATTTAGTGTTGTATATTGCCGAGACGTACAGCAACCTCATTGAAATTAATGCTCCCAGGCTGAAATCATTTTACTTCGCAGGCAGTGTGAGATCTATCTTTTTAAAGAATATCCCTCTTCTTGCAAAGCTTTTACTTGCATCTAGCGACACCGATTATTTCGGGGAAGAAAAATGGGATATTGCAAAGTTTTTCGAGTCGTTTGAATCTTTTTCTGCTCTCGAGCATATATACTTGAATATGGTAAATGTTGCTTCCTGACTTCATTGTAACACATTTTGAATCTTTTCGGCTTCGTTTCATCCTGATTTTTTAATATTTTCTTTTTAGTTATTTGCTGCAGAAGCAAGTGAAGTACCAACGAGGCTTCCCTTTAGTCTTAACAGTGTCAAAAGACTTGACATTAGTGTTGATCTTTATAACTCGGTTGAGGTGTCATGTGCTCTTTGCTTGATAAGAAGCTTCCCGTATTTACAATATATGGATATTTCGGTACGCTTCTCTCTCTTTCTTATTGGCCTTTTCATTTTCATACTTGAATCATCAAAAAGTTCAGAGAATTAAGTTTTGTTATTTTTTCTTTAGGAGGCTTATCCTAAATATGATATAGAAGAAGCTTATCAAGTAGAATTTACCTCGGATGTGACGTTTAATCACCTAAGGGAAGTTAGGCTAACACTTGCTAGTGGCTCAATCATCGAGATGCAGCTTGCCAAACTTCTGTTAGCCAATTCTCCCATGCTAGTGAGAATGCTCTTCGCGTCGTGTGTAGTTAAAGCATCTGCTGCAGTCAAAAAACTCGCTGCTGAGTTAACAACATTTCAGCGTGCATCACCTAAAGCAGAGGTGTCCTTCATCGAAAACTAGTACATGATTACAGTCCTGTTTACTGATCTTCTTCAGAAGTCTTCGGACCATGATGTTTGGCTCAAATATTTTGCAAGTTAATGTGAATAGCTAGATAGTACTCTGAACATCAGTTTTGGGAAGATTAGTGAATCTGTGTAGATGATTTGACTTATCTGTTGCATAGTATGTTGTTAAAATATGAAGTTCTCTTGGACTCACTTCTGTCAAGAAATTTATGATTATCTAGACTTTTCGTGTGTTATAGTCCATGAATTTCTTAGAATATGTCTGAGCAACTCTATTTGAGTTGAAAGTTTGTGAGTATAGTCTTGACGAGCTAGAAAATTATACTCATTATTTTTTAAGGACAATCATCACTTTATTGGAGTTAATGGGTCGAATTTATAGGATTATCTTAACTTTTCATGTGTATTCGTCCATTAATTTTTAAAATATATGTGATCAACTCAATTGGAGCTCAAATTTTGTGTCCATTCATGATGACCTAATAAATGATACTCATAATTTTTTCAACTTATGTGAATTAGTCTATATAAATTTTGTAAAATGTGTGATGGACTCTATTTGAACTCGATTTTTACAAAACATGAATTCAGGATTATCTCGAACTATCGGATGGAAAATCAAAAAGAGAGAATGCTTCCAATATCACTTCATCCAATCAGCAAAGGGAAACTTGCAATTTAACTTGTAAAATATGTATTGAAAAGAGAGTTTTAATCAAAGGAACCCCACAACTTGCTGCCTTGTTTGACAAAGCTCAACTGGGAAATAGAAAGCATAAACCTGCCCTCCTTGACCCAAACACACATGAACACTAGTCTACCTCTACTCCGATCGAACATAGGCAAAATACTACTTGTATGGGGCTAATGAACTTGAAAGAAAAAAGTATAGGAGCATAGTTTTTACATCAGGAAGAAGAATCAGTTTCGGCTCTTAAACAGAAAGAACCCCAATCCACTAACTGCTAAGGTCACAATGAGAGGTACTCTGATCGAATTTAGATCTCTTCTCTTGCTTGTTCTTGCTTGTCGTGATTGTTCTCCCAGTCTGTCGCGAAGAAGATTGCTAAGGCTGTCTAACTGATGCATAATTTGGCGTTGTCCACGTGCAACATTAGATAGCTGTGAAGATAGTCAATGCAAAGGGAAAATAACTTGGTTATCTTCTGATATTTAACTTTCTGCAGTAATGGAAAGTAGTGCAAATTGACAAGTCAAAAGATTATATATTCATATGTTCCATCAAAGTAATAAAAGAAGACGAAGATTATTGATTAAACATAGGTCTGCATGGCGAAAGCCAGGTGAAATATGTACCTCTTCCATCAGATTGGACTCCTTTGGAATTAGCAAAGAAGAGGATGATGAATTTGGCATAATGGATCCTGTCAAGGAACCATTTTCTAAACCAGATATGAAGTAAGAAGTTGGGCCGGATCCATTACAAGCTTCGGCTTGCAAAGCCAGACTTTGTGTGCTCGGAGAAGCTCTTTTTTTGGTTAACTTGGAATTAAGTTCTTCCATTTTAGATGTAAAATCATCCATCCGATCATTCAAGGTAGATATTTGTTCCGATAAATGTGTAACAGCTCCCTTTGTGAAACAAGGACAACAAACATGAAGGGTAAATCTCCAGAAGTGCCATGAAATAGTGAAAAGAGCTTAAATATATTTCATTGTTGCTAAATGCAAAACCTGGTTTGCTAATGTTGCTGAATCAGTGTTTCTGTCATCAAACCTCTGACTATCAGTATCAATCTTGGATAGATTTTTCTCTCTGTGATTTGCGTAGGAATGGGACAATCCACTGCAAAAACAAAAAGAAGCAGATCAAGTTCAAATCAACTTGACAACAGAATTTTTCCTGGACGAGATAGAATCTCATCCGCTTCCGCTGCAGGCTGCAGTTCCCTCCCATCCCCACACCACTCTCATGAGGTTTTCCCAATAAGGATGGAGATCCATGCAAGTTCCAAAAAACTTCAAATTTAAGATTAATGACTTGCTTATATACAAATCAATAAGGAGTTGAAGAACTAAACAAACAAGTCGATATCTAGGAGCAATCTATTCAACCTACACATCAAACAGAATGACACATGGACGCATATAGACATAAGGTCATGAGTATCAAAATATGCATGAATACAACTACGGTGAGAGTGTGAGACTATCAATTTTCTTCATTTCTTTTCTCCCGTAACTCCTGCAGCCACATTAGTATGTCCAAACCATAGGTTAATCAAGTGTGCTGTGTGCAAATTAGAGCTGATGAAACTCCTCAGTATTCACCTAAGACTCTCTCCTCTTGCTTTCCCTCCTTGTTAGAGGAGGATATTTGCCATTAATACAATGTTTGGAAGCAGTTAAAAAAGCTAAGCAGCCTTCTATTAATGCCGTTGAACCACAAGTAATTATTGGCATGGAGAAATATTTTCAGCTTATTGATAAAATCTATTGTTTGACACCATTTTTTATGCAAAAAAATTAATGCAAGACTAGTCAATAGGGAAAAAAAGGGATAGACAAGTACCTTCTTAAATTCTTATTTCTCCATGCTACTCTCTCTGCTGAGGCTCGAGAGAGAGCTTCTTTTGGGCTGGAGACGAGATCTTCATCTAAGCTAAGCTTCGTTTTCAAATCATCTGGTAGTGCCTGCAATATATCTAGTAAGTGATAGAAAGCCATTATAGCACGTAACGAAAAAAATCTATGGAAGCTAGCATACCATAACTTCATTCACAAGCTTCTCTAGTTGTATTTGCTCAATATATGTACGCGGAGTGTATGAACCCTCCAGTCCCAGCTGATCAGCAACCGATTTTACAATTAGGCGATCTCTTCCTTGGACCTAGGTAAAGTTAAGAAAATCTAGCATATTAGAAGTTTCAAACAATAATCTGGACCCTGATACTAAGAGACAACCAGTCAATCTGAATTATTAAGGATCAACAAGGAGAAGAATTCTCATGCAGTGGACATTGAAGTCTTAAAATAACACACCCCGCAGTTATCTTCTCCGTAGTAGATAAAATGAATGATTTTACTCTTCTTCAAGATAAAAAGAGAAATAAATACGCAGCTTACATTTCCTTTGGGTTAACAATTTAAAGATATTGCAGTTAGACAATCATTGGCATATCATGCAGAAACCACTAGAGATAATAGATAAACTGCCATGCCTTGAGAACTCAATGCAAGTTTGAAGCTTTCCAATTTTATGAATTAAATCATTTGTTAGTGAGGCATTGGTTCCCTGATGACAGAATGATTCTGATAATTCATGCAATAGAAACTGAAACCAAAAGGACCTTAACAAATTATCAAGGATTGCTTTCTAGCTTAACATCATTGCCAACAGATGTTAACAGAAATGACAAGATTTTAGAATGTAAATATCTTAGCAAGGAGGAGAGAGTAAAACAAGTCTACTACCTGAACATAATGCCGGTTCAGTTGCTCTAGCCAATCAATTTTCACGCAAACCTTTTCATCAGAAAATACATGGCTACTTCTTTTGAGTATTGTTGCAATCGTGTATCCCAAGGCCATCAATCCACCAAGAAGCTTCACACTAACTTCAAAACTGATTCTTGGCGATATGACAAAGGGAGAATCAGTGACCCACTCCTACAATTCAAAACCAGTTTAAGCTGTCACCATCAGAACTTCAGTAAAGCAGCTCTTTACAGGTACACATACTTCCAGGAAAATTAGCTGGTCAAGAAAAGCTGATATACCAAAGCACCACTAGATGAAAAAATAAAATAAATAAACATGGAGTGGAAATACTTGTATTGACCACTAAATCCTGAAGTCTCTCAATAAAAGATATAATCCCAAGAAAGAATCAGGACCAAAAAAAATAAATAGAGACTGAAGCTACCAGATGCACAACATTTCAAGATTTTACAATGTTCATAGTAGGACAGCAGGCAGGATAATTTTAGTTTAAGATCTCTACTATTATCAGCTTCTTCTATAGATTTGATGAATTCAACTTCTACAAGATCTCAATTTATTCTAAAACAAGAGGAAATTGTCTGAATATCGAATTGTAGAAAGACAAAAAAGAGAGTGAATGGAAGATATTCCTCCTGTTGGTACTTGACGTCGACTATAGGAAAACATAAGGTTAAGAATGAAACAAAAATCATCCTTACACCACCTACATTGAGTTGTAATATGGCATTTCCCTACAAGAAACAGAGTTATTTAAGAATGATTTAGTGGTATAGCTTCTTCAACACATGATGCAATTCATCTTGCTACATGACTAAGACTAGCCATATAAGTCCATGATACGTTTGTGATGCAAGCTTCACAAGTTGAGTAAAAGCACCTAGCTATCTTACTTCCCCTACATGCAATATAGACGTTCTTCCATTGTCCCCTATATTGAGCCAACCAAGAGGATTTCTTATCAACCATTCAGGTATACGTTGAGAGCTTTTTCTCAGGTTGACTTTATTAACTCTAAAATTAGGCTTTCACTTGGAAATTCCTTAGCCCCTGCTAGTATTTCAAGATAAAAAATACAGGTAACATTATAGGAAAATGGTGTTCCCCAAAAGCTTAAACATTTTTCAAGTATTTCAAGAAAATGAATAGTAATATGCACACGACTATTAAAAGTTTAATTGGGAGAATAACAGACTGTCATCAGTAGGCTACATAGTAAAGTCAAAATGGCCTAGCAAACAGAGGTGCTTTGTAACAGTTGGCCATTATTTTCTCAAAAAGTATTGATCAATATACAAAGAGACAAACCTCAAACATGAGACTGTATTTTCCATCTTTGTTTCTCATCCTCAGATATGATTGGCATGTCTCTGGATCTTCACCAGGTGGCAGAAGGTATATGTCGTAAGTTTGCTCCGTACTTTCAATGTGTTCTTCAGATAATGCAGACTTGATTTGATCGACTTGCACATCCCTAGAAGACTAAAGGTGCAAGTGATTAGATGAACCCTTTTTCTTTGTTTTAATATTTATTGATAACTTTAATTACGTAATTTGTTTTTTACCACTGTAATTTTCCATGACTGGAAACCAGAAGTAGTATGAACTTCTAATATCCTTACCTTTAGAATGTATGTAGGACTCTGAAATCCAGTAAACGGATTAAATTTGTTGATGATTTTTATATGTGCAGTCTTGAGATCAGGTTCAATAAAAGCCTTGTACATTGGATAAACCTGCACTAGACATCGTCGTTGGATAGTCATAAAGAGAGTTTCAGGTGTATTTTAGCCAAAATTATAGAGGAAACAAACCGTTTCAGATATTTGATGGATTATCTCCGAGGGTTCCTGCCCGGCACGCTGTATATCCCGTAAAACCCTTTTGACAAGATCAAAGTGAACTCCACCTGTCACAGATATGCGAAGATCCAGAAAAGGCCGCAACTTTTCACTCAAAGCATAGATACCCTCAATAATCAGAATGCGGGAGCTAGGTACTTCAAGAGTCCTGCAGTAAACTTAATGTTGTAAGTTCAAATCATATACTAATATGCAACACATCTTAGATAATTAAAAGAAAATAAAAAAAGGCATCTACTAACTTTGAGCCTGAAGGGCACATTATTCGATAGAAAACTGACAAAAGAAAAACCAACATCACCAAAGAACTTGTCAGAGAGGATAGATCGTCTAAGAGAAGGGGACCACAGACCACTGTAAAACTGAAGCCTTGGGCAAAAAAAGAAGAGCAATGCAAGCCTCATTAAAAAGAAGAGAATGACCAGATAACTGTGTAATAGATGAAGGATCTGTCATCCTGATGCCAATTAAATAGATTAGGAGTCTAGGGAACAAGATCCTTCTGAGTGGACCACAGATAAAAAACCCCAAGCAAAATGAAACTAGTATAGCATAAACGTTTTTTTGTAACAGTGGTGTCCAAACCAACATGTGTACACCTCGACTATTCTACCGGGTACCTCCCACCAACACATGTATTGGGTAACTCTATCCACCAAGCTTAGGCATAGGCAGATGGGAAGAACTTATCTGGTGCTTTTGTCTTTGTGGGAATTTGAACCCTGATCTTCAAGATTGGCACAAACTTCATTGATCACTAGGCATACCTTTAGGTCTAGAATAAAATAAAGTAAATGATTCAAAGATGAACAAGTCATGAGATTCCACAGCTAGTGACATGGTCTTAATTGTATCAAATTTAGCTATGCCAATTCAACAGTTAAGTTTCTGTTTGAATCAGAGCAATGAAGAGCCTAGGTAGTATTGCTCCAAAGATGTCATCGATTTATTTTTTCTTTTCCTCATGTAATAGAACGCAAAATTATAAACAACCCAAGGTCTGGAGGTATTTGCCATTTAAGCATTCAAACATAAAATTTCTGGAGCGAACAGGCAATAAACTTGCAGTGGTTTTGAATAGCAGCTTGTATGAAAAATGACAACATGCACATATAAGTATAGAATATTACATGAATAAGAAGCAAGGAGCTGAACCTGTATCCTATGCGAGAGCTAGATTTGAAATCATATATGGGAACCTCAGCCGGCTTCCCGGCCTTTAGATCATTGATGTTTTTCAGCAATGTATCATAGTCTGTAAGTCGTGGATCTGTTTCAAAAGAAAAAATAGACCTGGTAAAGTACAAATCATCTAGTCTTAAGTTATTCTACTAGTACAAATGACACCAGTGTAAGGGTAAACCAATAAAAAAAGAAATCAGCTAAGAGGAAATTAGAGATCTCAGCCCAGATTCTTTCACGGAATGTTTTCTAACATTGAATATGTATGTTCCATGATTCAAAGAGGCACCCTCCTCATTCTAGTGCATAATTGAGATTTAACCAATGAAAGATTAACCAATATATTATGGTTCTAGCAACTCTTGATCATATGTTTGGTGTTACCAAAACTTAAAAAGATCGAATCATTAGCCGAAAGAGGACAGCTCTCTATTCAGTAGATTTTGTAACATATTTACAATGGCTTTCCCAAGGAAAAAAGAAAAAGGACACATAGAGGTCTGTAAGAACTCAAAGTGCCAACTATGTCAAGAAAATGCAAAGTAGATTCCCTAAATATTCAACAATTAGGAGCTTCATAAACTTATGAGCCTCCTTGTCCCTGAAACTGGTGGGTACTTGAAATTTTAAGCCAGAGAGCAGAATGCAAGTGAAATCCCCTTTTGGTTAATATCTTTCTATACACACTCAATAACAATAAGAAACGAGGTATTCATTCTTACCATCAAAGTTTCCATCAACTACTCGACTAGCATCATTGTAATTATCCATTGAGATAACTGCAACACTTGGCATGAAGCTGAGTATTTTCTCTGTAAACACAGTCTTTCCTGCTCCGGAGGGACCAGCAACACCAAGTATTATCAATCCTTCATTCTTTTGAACCAACAACTGGCATGCACGGATTACAACAAAGAAACCTTTCTCAAATGACAAATTATCAGGTATCGAGATGATTTCATATCGATCGCAGTTCTTTCTCTTGACTAGTCGAACTTGGTCCTTTAAGAGACCAGCTTTCCGAGTAGATTCACCATTACTAGTATCTTTAGGCATTTAGAATAAACACGTAGAGAATTATCCTCTGAAATTACAAAAATAGCCCGTATAAAGATCAGAATGAGAATATAAAAGATCCAGAATAAAAGATATGCCAAAATGATCAATTCACAATCATGGACCTGGAAAAGTTTCTTATCTAATATTGACACACTGAAGATAAAGCACTGGAAGCATTACAACATAGCACATAATTGTTATTAACCCCCAGAATCTCTTGCAAGAAGAAGCAACCCTGATTTTTCTATTCTTGTGATTGCTTAAATTTTCATTTAAGCAAGTTCTCTCATAAATTACACATTAAAATCACAGTATCTTGTAAAAACTGTCTGTTAGTTGAATTAACTTGAACTCTCCGATACTTAGTTGCATCAATGAGACTAGATAAGCAGAGAAGAGAAGCTATAATATAATGCTATAGCAGATATTAAGTTCTCTTTTGCAGCAGAGAAACACTTGAAAAAAAGGATTAAAGCACCATCAACACGAACGACCCCTTAAGTACAAAGATTGTTATCATCCATGATTAAAAATATAGCACATAACCCAAATGACCCAAGAAATCATCCTCCAGGATTGTCTTCGTCATCGCAATTAAAATGGGAAGGCTTCAAAGCTCACTCACTTATTTCCTAAGATAACGGAGGTCTATGATGAATTTATAGTTTCTTAGCTTTAATGCAGACCAACTCTGCCTTTTTATGAATAAGACGGAATATGCCATAAAAGGTTAAACTTACTTCTGCATACTATGAACTAGGCTAGTATTGTTATTAATAAGTTACTCGTCAGTTCAGACTCAAACAGTAATGTTGTCCTACAGAATTTCTACTTAAGAACCACATATCTGTTGATCTTGATGCAATTATCAAGGAACAAAATGCAGACATTTTCCTGCAAGCTCCCGTACCGAACAAGCTTAGAACGATTTTAAATAAAGACAAATCTAGACAAATCTTTAAGACCGACAACACCGAATCTCAGGCATTACAAGATTAAGATCAGTTTGATCTTCCAATAGATTCACTAAACATTAAATTGAAAATTCAAGTTCATGGGAGTTATCTGAATGCCCTACAATCTCCATCCATAACCTAATAAACACATCCATCAATGTTTGTTAAAATTGAATAAAAGAGCCATCTTTAATCAAACCAGAATTCACATACAACTAATATCAAAAGTGCAGCAGCAAAACAAACTAGAACCCTCACCCAATTAAAAATCCCCTTTTTTCCCTCTTTCCAATTAACACATTACAACTAAGAAACTCAATCCATTAAATACTTATAACAAAAAAGATCACTCCTTTAACAAAACCAATTAATACCCAGATTAGAAACACTCAAATCCTCATCAAAAAACATTCTTTTTACAGACCATTTTAGATTCAATAGCTAAAAATGTTAAGTACTACAAAACAAGATAACCAACTTCAGCATTCAAGCAAACAAGCACAACTAATCAAGAAAACACAATGGAGGTCTCAAAAACGAAAAAAGGGGAAAACCCCACAAGATATCTGAGTTAAAAAAAAAATTCAGACTAACTCCATTGTAGAACCTGGAAGAGCAAGAAAACACAGACCTATTATATGCTACAGTAAGGTTAACTGCAAGTAAAGCTTACAAGCTTTTTTGGCCCTTTCTTCTACAAAGGCAGAAAGGCTCAAATTTATATATATGTAATGTTTGTTTTTTTCCCTTTTTTGCCCTTTTTATTTTTCTATACTCTGGATTTTTGGAGATATTTTTGCTGTTATATGAAGGAAACTGAATTTCCAGAAGTGTTTGGGAAGTGGGAATTCTTGAGATTTTGCCACGGAATTGCATAGGGTAGAGTCCACAATATTTATTACTACTCGTAAACGTGTGATGCGTAGATAATATTAAAATATTATTATTGAAAGGTCTTTTGAAAATATTTTCTTTAACGTTTTGTGAGGTAAATATTATTAAGTTAGTGTGATGCGTAGATAATATTAAAATATTATTATCGGAAGGTTTTTTGAAAATATTTTCTTTTACGTTTTGTGAGGTAAATATTAGGTTAGTATGATGCGTAGATAATATTAAAATATTATTATCGAAAGGTCTTTTGAAAATATTTTTTTTACGTTTTTGTGAGATAAATATAGATTAGTGTATATTATATTCTTTTCAAACCTTGTTTATAATATTACATTATAGATATTATTGTTGTCGTTGTGAAATATATTTATTTAAAATGTGTACTTTTGATTCTTTTTACTTATGAATATGCATAAAGTTTTAGGATTATTAACTGTTTCTCATAATTTAGTTTACAAATGTATTATGTAAAATTGTATTACTACTTTATATGTGATTATAATATAATGAGACTTTGAGATTTCAAAGTTATTGCTATAAACATTAATGTACAATTACAATAAAAATAATAATGAGTTTCTTACGAAAAACAAACCAAAGTATCAAAATAAAAAGTGTTTTTATTGTGAAAAAAAAAAGAAATAAAATTATTATTATTATTTATTTATTGTCATTTATAGTTCTGTGTAAATATAAGCAATGATTATGCATTTGTAAAATTAAAAAAATAGTTAGGGACAGAATTATTAATTAGCGGCGGCTTTCCGTAACGTACACGTAGTATAATTATGCCGTAATGAGTGGCATAAATTTCATCATAGAATAAAACAAAAATAAATACTTACTTACAGTAATTTTAGAAAATAAATAAAATTATAAAAAGAATATTAAATTGGTAAATGGGAAAATTTTTACCTGTACTATTTATATCAAATTAATAAATATATGATATAAATTTTGTTTATATGAATTTTATTTAATTATGATTGAATAATAATAATAAATTTCTTCTAGTTTTTTACTATTAAAGCGTTGAAGTGTAAGAAGATTAAAATTCATAATTCATATTTGAATTTAGACATAATAATACACAAACAGATACTTAATGGCAATTGGAAAAGGTGTTCAATTTATATTCAATCATTTTATAGTGTGTTAAATTTTACTTTTGCAACCAAATATTCAATTATAATTTAACTGTATTTTTTATAATCAAAATCGATAGATTCTTAATATTTTAAACAGTTATTAACCAATTGAGGAAGAAGGTCTGATTTCATTTTAATGTTAATTTTAACAAATTAGAATCCAATTTTACTTTGTTAGTGTAGTTTTCCTCCCTATTTTTAGTTAATTAAAAAAAAAAACAAAATTACATATCTTTTCAAACTTTCCCTAAGTAGGTAATTATAATTTGAATTTACTACTCTTTTTCTAATATTTGCAAAGATCCGAAGAAATGCATTTATATTAAAAAGAAAGTTGCAAAAAAAAGATGAATTATCTTCTAATCTTATGTGTTTAACTCAAGAAAATAAATACGTATATGAGGCGGGGCGGGGCGGGGAGGGTGGGACATGAATCTATGCTTGGCGGATTGAAAACACATAAAAATGTAATGCGGGATAGATTGAAATTTTTGTGTGTTAAGCCAAACCCGCTCTATACCCCTCCCCCTCCCCTGACAGCCCATTGTCATCCCTAAATTTGATCTCAACTGATAAGTAAGCGTTCCAACTTTGAGAATGTACATTTAGACTCATCTCCATTACGTCTATATGGACACTCGACGCTGACGTGATATATAATTTTTGGAGGTGTTTAGATTTGATTATATTTGTAAGTTGAAGTGTTCTACTGACATGAAGACGAGTTAAGACGTTTAGATATGTATTTGAAAGTTGAAGTGGTTACTTATCAACTGAAGCCAAATTTAAATAATTATTTGTGTATTATGTCTTAAATTTATTTTACACTAATATAAGATAAACAAAAAATTATATAAAAATCACTTAAAATTATCAATGCTAGTTATTAATATAATCTTAGTTATAACTTATATGATATATGATTTATTAGAGCAAGTCAAATTACATTGCACGTGTAAAAAAATGATAGATGTAGCTGTTAGAACAAAGTCAAAACAATTAATTTTCTTGTCTTTGATTATGTTATGAAATTTTAATTGGAAAAAAGTGTGTAATTCAAGTCAAATGCACGTGAAGAGTGGAAATATAAATGGAAATTGGTGTTTAATTATTCTACATGATTTTTTATTTTTTTTATTCTACATGATTTTTTAGTACACTTATTTTCCCTTTTTTTTTTGGGTCAATGTCAATTTTCAAATTATGAGTCTTCCACTTTTATAATGGCTTAATAAAGTGCTCCTTGGGAAAAATATGATAGTCATCTTCTTAATCAAACTTAGACGTTTGGATTATTACATCATAGGTACAAATAAAGGGCGAATCTACCGGATAACATATGAATTTACATGAACTCGATTAATTTATATATTAAAAAAATCGGACAAAACATCGCTTCCACGATATGATAACTCACATTAATAGTGTGGTCCAAAGGCATATATAGTCAAGTAGTAGGCAAAATTGCGACTTCTTTTCGTTTGCTAACAAATTAATGTTTTAACATTTAAAATGTGGGAGTGAGAGTCTACAAAATTGTAACTATCTCTTCTTTCTTGTACAAATGATTTAACTGATATTACCACAAAAAAAAACTTTTAGCAACAATAAATATATATTAATAAAGATTGTTAAAGTTTTTACTGACATTAGTTTATTGCTATTGAATCTAATGTTGTTATAAACTTTAGACACATTTACAAAAAGTGTAAATTGCCGCTAAATTAAATATATATTTACCGACAATTAAATTATTACCATTAATTAATTATCACCAAATGTCATTTTTGGTGGTGTGAGTTATATATATATATATATATATTTATTTATTTTTTATTTTTATTTTTTTTGGGTAAGTACTTTAAATTAGGCTTCCATCTTTTATTTTATTATTACCCAAATTCCAATATATAGAAGATTATTAGTATTATTTTCTTTGCTTCAGTTTTATATTGTATTACTTGATGCATATTTAATATTATTCTTTTCTTTATTATTTTCTAAGTGACTTTTTTATTACTATATTTCATTTTAAGTATACTTTGATATGTTTTACTTAAATGATAATCAATCAAAAACAGAAATAAAATTTACGTACACACTATCCTTCACAAATCTCACTTATAATTATAATGTTTATCATATTATGCACCATTCCTTTGTGAAACACAATGGATGGACATGAATTATTATTAGTACATGATACACATTTCTCTCTAATGTCAATTTCACAAATGTGAGGAACATGTTACCTCGTATTAATTACACATTTAATTTGTTTTTTTTTTCAATATTTAACAAACTTTAAAATTCAACTTGAATAAAATAATAATTGTCACAATCCATCTGGGGCCAATATTAACCATCAATGATCAATCAATAGATTCAAATCACCAAACAAACTAATAAGTACAAATAAATAATTCTCTCATCATATTTTAATATTTAGAAAGAATATTAAAGTCATGATTTACCTAACATAAATTATGAATATATTACATTTGTAATTACACCTATAGTTTTTTGGGGTTTTATTTACTGGATACTTAAATATATATAAACTTAGTTACAAAAGAGTACATATGTACAGCTTCAAACTTCTAACAGAAAAAAGTCAAAATATCTTTAAATTATGTAAAATTACATAAAAATATCATTTGGTCAAATAAAATATCGTTACTATTAATACTTTGAATAAAAAATATCCTATAGTTACTTTTGGGTCAAATGGAAAAAGTTGCATTCAAAAAAGGAAAAAACTTTGTTTTAATTCATGATATTATAAATGATTTGTATTGCCACGTAAGCAATCCATTATTGAACCTGGTCAAGATTTTAATGAAGATAATAGAATAGAGCCTTTCATTGGTGGGTTGAAAAAAGATTTGAGAAAACATCAAATTAGGAAAAAGTGCAAAAAGTTCCCTATCTAATATCTCTATCATTTACATACCAAAAAGAAAAGAAAAAAAAAACACAATCTTTTGGGGCTAATGTGGAGGGCCCAATGCTCATAGGGCCTTATCTTGTTATATTCGTGTATAAGTAGGTACTCAAATAGACACACGTATCCTACGTGGCAATGCATGCATCGTACATGACATAGTAAATAAGTTTGAATGTATCTCTCATGATCTTGTCGTGTAGAACGTGTATGCCTACTTGTACAACTTTATACAAATTTGAGTGTTATACACTCAAAATTGGAGAACATAATTATCAAATGGGAAAAGGGTCAAATATTCCCCTAAACTATTCGAAAAGGATTAGATATACCCCCGTTTAAAGTTTGGTTCACTCGTGCCCTCGCCGTCCAACTTTTCGTCTAGATATGCCCTTATGGGCGTTAAATGCCAAATGGAATTGTCACGTCATTTTTACATTACCACGTGACATTTATATTAAAGGAAAAAGGGTCAAATATACCCCTAAACCATTCGAAAAGGTCTAGATATATCCCCTTTTAAATAAACTACCCGACCTATTTTCAACAAAAAAAATTCGGTAAATCCCGAAAATGAGTAATTGACTAATAAAAAATAGGAAAAATATGAAAAAAAATATATATATAAAACTAAAGCCAAAAATTCACAAATAAGTATAGTAACCTTAAATTCAACAATTTCAACAATTTTTTAAAATTTTTATTTTTTTTCGATAAATCACGAAAATGAGT